AATAATTAACCCCATTAATATTCACCTCTATATGTAAAACTGGATCAGACATTTTACTCCAGGCCTATTAGGAAACTTATCGATTATTAAATATATATGTGAAATATAGAAATATAAAATTCAATTATTAACCTTCCATTCATCAGCATCCGTTGTGACTTCAACACCTAATTCCTTTGTTAAAGATTCTTTATTAAAAAAGTGTAAAGCATTATCCGTTGTTACAACTTTTATTTAAATATTTTCGTATAAAACAATCAGAAAACGCACGAAAGAAAAAAAAAAAAATATATCATGAAAAAAAAAAAAAAAAAAAAAAAAAAAACCTGAAGAAGTGATTGAACCAAAAGTGGTATCTTAATACTTGCAACACTCCCCGTTGCTCCTATAAGAATATTGATTTTTTGTTGAGACATGATTTTACCTTTACGCGCATCAGAAAGAGACGATCTACCGACACAGCATCCACATGATTTATCTCCCTTATCAGCACAGCAAAAGTTGACATGATGCCGACAAGAAAGATAAATCATGTGGATGCTGTGCCGGTAGACCGTCTCATCAGAAAATGCATAAAACCGTGACTTACGGGTTTTTTGTGTCACACATATGCTCATATGGGCGTGTGTGATTGGTTGCCCGATGAATCTGAAAGATCTGAAAATAAAATAAATTCAGAGAAATTAAATTTTACTCTATTACGGCAAAGATGTCGGAGGAACGTACCTATATTATGGTTAAGGTATATTATTTCTTTTTCTTTAAGTTTTGAAACCAACATGCATGTACTTATTCAAACTTCATTAGCCCGATGGCGTTGAACGTGGTTTAGTTGGAGAGATTATCAAACGTTTTGAAAGCAAGGGATATAAACTTGTTGCCCTTCAACTTCTTCCGGTTGGTATTAATTTGGATTCAATTTTGTTGGTATCATGAACCATTTTAATCCTGATTTTATATGTATTTTAAATGAAGACATCCAGAGAACTTTTGAACGAACACTATTGCGACCTCAAAGACAAACCATTCTTTCCCAAACTTATAAATTGTACCTTTTTTTTTTTTTTATTTGATCCTTGATCGGCTTTGTTTGTGATGATGATATTTAATTTTCTAATGCTCCGTAATGGTTTGCATATGTTGATTAATAGATATGTTGTCTGGACCGGTAGTCGGTATGGTATGGGAAGGAAAAGACATTGTTAAAACTGGTCGCCGTCTCTTGGGCGAAACAGATCCTTTGAAATCCGCACCTGGTACTATTCGCGGTGATTTTTGTATTGATGGTGATTTTTTTTTATTTTTTTATATGTTTAGTAAGTACTTTATGTCATATAA